GTACCTCCACTGCCAAGTTTCATTTGGGTGAACTCTGAGGCAAACCAGGCAGACCTTTGCTGGAAGGTAGTGAAAACAGTATCATCTTCAAAGGGAGCAGTAGCTAGAACAGCAGGCATGACGCATTCAGTGCTGAGAACAGAAATAGCTGGCAACAGGCAGCCGGAGCTGAAAATGAGTTCTAAGAGAGCCCAGAAGGACAAAAAAGTTTCAATTACCACTGTTTCATAGCAAAAGGTTCATTGTTTTAAATAATTCACCTGGATCTTATGCTTTATTTGAAAGTTCACTTGTACTAATGCTGTTTTAGGCAAAAAAAAAAAAAAAAAAAAGAAAAGAAAAGAAAAAAAATCACTGACTATATATGCTATTAAATTGAAAGAATTCATGTTTTTGCAAAAAATTCATCAATGAGTAATTCCTGTACTCCATGTGTACTTTTCTGGGTTACTCCTCCTTGAGACCTTAGTCCCTGGGCCCCAAACTTCAAGTCATCTATGTCAGCTTGGTACTGGCCTCACTGCCAGCTACTACCCCATGCTGCTTGCAAGTACTGCTCAGTACCTGACATTTGGTGACCAATCGATAACTATTTAGAGAATTGAGCCAAATTGATTTCTTGAATGAAAGTCAGTTCCCAGGCTCAAAGGGCTCTTTCAACAGGCAGTATTTTCCTTATGGACAAGCTAGGAGTAAATCAGTCATTTTTAAAAGCTCTATAAACCCAGACCACTTGTGAGAAAAGGTTAATACCACATCCTGACATGGCTAACTTATATCCTCAGAGAACAGAGAAACAGTCAGGACTAATGATAAGGAGCAATTTTTTTAACTGTGAGGGGAGTGGATTTTTTAATAGCTGTACGGACATATAATCAACATAACATAATATTCACCCTCCTCAAGTGTACAGTTTGTTGACATTTATTAAACTTATGTGGTTGTAAAGCACTGCCAGTTTTTTAACACTTCCATCCTACAAAATTGCCCTCATGATTGTTCAGTTCCTTTATCCTTAGGAGCTGGTGTGCCATTAAACCAAAACAATCTCTTTAAATTCTAAGGTCTACTATATAGACTATGAGGAGCCCACCATGTTCGAATATTCAATAAATATTGGATGATAATGCCAAAGAAAGCAGTGTTTATATTTCCAGATAGAAATTTCATTCTGAATTTGTAAAAAGATGCAGATATTCTAACTCAGAGTTGAATGTGTGCATCATGGTTAATTAGCAATGCTTCAAATTATAGGCCACTGATGTTTCTTGTACAACTATCAATTAGCTATGCTAATGAGAAAAGCAGGAAATGACTACAGGAAAAAAAATGAAATCAGCAGCGATTAAAAAAGGAAAACAACACATTGTATAGACCCAGTCTCAGCCACTAGTAAAACTTACCAGAGTGATCTAGAAGTATAAATTCTGAGGAGTATTTCCTTTTCTATATTGTCCTTCAGAGAAGCCATATCCAAATCATAAAATGACCAAAATATATAACAAAGGGCTAGTCAGTGGTTCTGATATAATTCCTAGGGGAGCTTTAAAAAAATCAGTGAAGAGTCTTTGTTCTAGACAATTTAAATTAAAGTCTCTGTGGGAGGGTCTAAATCCATAAATTGCATAATTTATTTCAGGTTGATTCTAGCTACTTTGTATTTGCTTTACTCTGAATTTTCTGGTTGGACGGTGAGGGTGTCAGATAAATCACCTTTGGTTCTTCCACCCCGACTCCCCTCACTCCACTTCTAAGTAGGAGAACTTCTGCAGTGAGACAATCTTATAGGTGATTCCTGCTAATCCAGTATTTTTTAAAAAGATTTTGTTTATTTATTTGAGAGACAGTGAAAGAGTGAGCATGAACAGGGGAACAGGCAGAGGGAGAGGGAGAAGCAGACTCCCCACTGAGCAGGGATCCTGACATGAGACCTAATCCCAGGACTTTAGGATCACAATCTAAACCGAAAGCAGAGGCTTAACTGACTGAGCCACCCAGGCACCACCCCCTGATCCAGTGTTTTATGGTCTCATTCACTTGGGGAATATAAAAATTAGTGAAAGGGAATAAAGGGAAAGGAGAGAAAATGAGTGAAAATATCAGTGAGGGTGACAAAACATGAGAGACACCTAACTCTGGGAAATGAACAAGGGGTAGTGGAAGGGGAGGTGGGTGGGGGGTTGGGGTGACTGGGTGATGGGCACTGAGGGGGGCACTTGGCGGGATGAACACTGGGTGTTACTCTAATTGTTGGCAAATTGAACTCCAATAAAAAAATAAATAAATAAAAAGAAGAAAGTACAATTAAAACAGTAGAAATATGAGTAAATACAACAGATTTTCCTTATTAAAGTTATGACTATAAAGTTGTTCATAGTATTCTCTTATTATCTTGTTAATGGCTGCAGGATCTGTAATGTTATCTCCTATTTCATACCAGATATTGGTGGTTCAAATCTTCTTTTTATGCAGTCTTATTAGAGGTTTACAAATATTACTAATTTTTTCAAAGAACTAAAATAATAATAATAATAATAATAATAATAATAATAATAATAAAATACCTTTCTCAATGTCTCTCTTCTTTGTCAAGGGTTGGGATGGTTTTCCCCCTAAGTAAATCTCTGAGAGAATGCAAGGGACCTGAACATGATTTACCTAGTGTTACGATGGAAGAAAATAAAAAATTATCATCTGGAAATTACAATTCCCCACTGAGCTCCACATGCCTGGCTCCTGGAAATTGTTTCCATTGAATTCCATTTGTTCACCAGTTCCAAGAAGAACAGCAGTTCTTGTAGCTATACTTCTTTTCTCCTTCCCTTAGATTTAAAAAAAGTAAAGATTTTTTAAAAAATCTTTAAAAAGTTATAATACTTTGCATTATATGCTTACCATAGAAAGTTCTAAAGTAGAATTACAAATAGCAAAATCAAAGCCAGTTAAAACCACCCATGAGTCTCCTTCTTCCCCATTCTAGAGATAACATAATTTATATCATTAGTGTATATCTTTCCTTTTTTCCCCATGTGTGGAAAAATGTGTTTTATTTTACAGAATTGGGTCATACTATATGCACACTTTTCTTACTTGCTTTTTTGGTAAATTGCTCTTATGTTCTCAGCAATATGTGTGTGAAAGAGGGGGGGAGATTAGGCTTCAAACTTAAGATTTTGCTGTGTCCACAGCAAAGCCCATCATAGAGACTTCCCATTGGTTATTTTAAACACCCCTCTATATTAGACATTGATTATTACTTTGGACGTTTGCCCTTTTCCCTTTTTCCATTATTTGTCAGTAAACAAGATCCATCACCAACTTGGTGAGTTCATACAGATTACTCTTTCACACTGATATGTGACATTGTATCCATAATTACCCAGGGCCACATATAATTATGGACACTGAGCCCCTTATCCTCTCATCCTGCTATATTCTCCAATATTTGTACCCAACACCTTCTCCAGAAGTGATGATTACTCAAAAATCCTGAAGTTTATTTCACCGTCGTCTAAATGTGTAGTATGGAGATTTATCATTCTAGTAGCTAATCTACTTTGAGTGTTTACTGTGCTAAGAAGTTTATATGTATTTTTCATTTTACCTTTATGACAAAGAATTTTTACAACTATCTCCATTATACAGGCAAAGAAAATGAGGTTTCCTCTGAGTAACTTGGCCAACATCATAGCTAGTAAGAGGCAAAGCTGGACCCTAAACCCAGAGCTGTTTGCTTCTAAATCATTTTTTTAAATTATTATTAACCAAAATCTGTATTTGTTCAAATTTTCTTAGTTTTGCATAACGTCCTTTTTCTGTTCCAGGACCCTAACCAAGGTATAATATTATAGTTAATTATGGTGTCTTCTTAGACTACTCTTGGCTGTGACAGTTTCTCATGTTCCTTTTTTCTCTAAATCATTTTTAAAAATCATGCCGTCACCTCTTCTCCTCTATAAGACCACCGCAGTTATATCATGCACTCCTTGAGTGACTCTGATCCTCACAGTAATCCTCCAATGAAGAATTATAATCTTCATTTTATAGATGAGAAAACAGAGTCTCAGATGAAAACTAATGGCCTACGTTACAAAGCTAGCAAGTAATGGAGCTGGGAGCCTAACTCAGGACTGTCTGACCAGGAGTGTCATGTTCTTTTTACTACTGTAGCTTAGATGGCTTATATATATGTGCGTTAAAAAAAAACTTGAAAAAGTTATCAAGAAACTTTAACGTTTTTTAAGAGACAGAGAGTGGGGTAGAGAGTTAAGAATCCTAAGTAGTTTCCCCAAGCTGACAAAGCATGGCATGGTTTAGATTTCCCTCAACATTCCCATACCCTGCTTTAAACCATAGCTCCTTGCAGAATCCCTATTTAGTTGCAAGTCCTTATGGTGCATTATAGCATTAACAATATGCATGCCCTAAATATTCAGGGATCAATAATTGCTGTAGAAGGTCTCCTTGCTTACTGGTAATCTCGTATCACTACCAGTATCATCCTTCTCCACCTACCTCCACCCTCCCCACACACTATATTTCTAAGTCATCAGATCCAAAGGGCCCTAACATGGACAACTCTCCCGACACTTTAATTTTGTTTAATTTCAAGAGCTTTCTCTAGAAAACCTCTTGGGGCACAAGTTTGGGTGTTCAGTCAAATGTAAGGAGTATTGTTTTCTCTGAGTTTGGCAAACAGGTTAAAGGGCAAAGGCAGTTAGCCATGGAGGCCCCAGGAACCCCCTTGCTCCCCAGACTCCCACAGCGTAGAGGCAGATGAGAGCCCCGTGGGGTGCCCCGGCGGAGCGGGGCGGGAACCTGCGCGCCTGCAGGGGCGGGGCGGGCTCTGCGGTCGGGGCTTAGGGACTGTAGCGATGCCAAGGCGCCACCCCCCGCCGCCTCGCCAGCCGCTCCCGCCCCCGCCCCCGCCCCCGCAGACAGGTGTTCAAAGCAAACCAGAGAGCAAAGAAGCGGGCGAGGGAGTCAGGAAGGAGCCGCTATCCAAGTCCGCAGGCGTTCCTCGCTGGCGGGTGCCTACGCGTCCTCGATTAGCACCATGGACAGCGCCCGCGACCAGCCTCAGGGGTGCTTGGACGCCGCCGGCTTCTGGCGGGTCTGGCAGCGCTTTGACGCGGATGGTAAGTGAACAAGCCACCGGCACATTCAGGTGTAGACGTGGCTCCAGCCCAGCCCCTCTGAAAGGACCTGGAGTTTCCCCTTCCCGTCCGTCCTTCCTCGCAGGGCAAGTTGTCTTCCAGCGTCGTCAATGCAGTGCGGGTATCCTGGAGTTACAGCTCTAGATGTCTGTGTAAATTCAAGGTGGGGGGGAGACTTGGTCCACCTCGCAATGTGTGTGTGTGTGTGTGTGTGTGTGTGTGTGTGTGTGTGTGTAAAACGATATGCCATATGTGACACAGATCATCACATGTATTTGAGGCTTGTGACCTACAGGCAGCTATCTGAAGTCAGCTCTCCCTAAGTGTGCTCCTCAAAGAGAACCCACACCCACACCCAAAATACTACTTGAAAAGAAAATGGTACTTAAGGTGTGCTTTATCTTTAGTAATAATTCAACAACCGTGTTTTGACTCTGCAAACTATGATTCAAGAATTACATTTGTTAAATTTTTCCAAGCTTCCAAAGGCTTGGGTTGGATTCTCTTCTAAGATTCATGTCTGTCTGTGGATTAAAATCTATGTATGTAATAGCTTTTCTTTTCCAAATATTCAATATAAACCCAGCGTAGAGCATTTACTCTTGAATATGTGTTTACTATTCAAATCCATGTCTCTGAGAGTTAAATGCTAGCACTTAGTTATTGGAATAGTAAAGAATAGTATTCATGGAGATTTTATAGATTATGAGATTCAAAACAATTTAGATAAACAGTTAATGTCACATGGTATTCTATGTAAGTGACTATCACTTATGCATCTCTTGTTGCATTTAGAAAAAGGTTACATAGAAGAGAAGGAACTTGATGCTTTCTTTCACCACATGTTGACGACATTGGGCACTGATGTAAGTATTTGTGCTACTAAGCATTAATTTATCTGCCTTTAGCAAAATACAAGAAGCATCTAGGTTTTGTGTTGATTTGTACCTATTAATCCCATCTGACCTCTTTTCTTCCTTGCCTGTGTGTAATTTTTCTCCATCTCCTAGCAACATGGAGGAATTGAGGCAGGTTCTATAAAAGGTAGTATTAGACTTGCTGGTCACTGACTTTTAGTGTAACATCTGTCATCCACTCAAGAGATCCTACCTATAAGTTCAAACAGCTCTGTTTAGAATGTCTCCTTGGTTATGCCTCTGCTAATGGATTTAGACATGAAGATAAGGCAAGATCATTTTGTTCAGAAAAGTGGAAAAGATGTTAAGTGCTCTGAGGCTCTGAGCATTTAGTGCATTTGATACTCCTTTGATAGCAGACTACAAACAGACCATTTAAAAATCATTTTCTATTATTCATCTTATTAGAAGAGGTTATAGATTTCTTAGGAAATGATAAACCAGAAAATAGTCGATATACCCTGAGTCCAGGTATAATAAATGTAAACCAATCTATCCTATCCATGTCCCTCCCTGGTGGTAAATCTGGCCTTGAGAGATGGAGACTAATTTTTGAAGATCCCAAAGCAGAGAAAAAACTCATACAAAGACACACCAGGCTAGGGATGGGAGAGCCTAGTAAAGTCTCCATCATGGGATGCATGGTAAGAGAAATAGCTCTGGAGGCAGTAAGTAGCATTTAAAATGAATCATGGAGGGCAACCCAGGTGGTTCAGCAGTTTAGCACTGCCTTCAGCCCAGGATGTGATCCTGGAGACCCAGGATCGAGTCCCACGTCGGGCTCCTTGCATGGAGCCTGCTTCTCCCTCTGCCTGTGTCTCTGTCTCTCTCTCTCTCTATGTCTCTCATGAATAGATAAATAAAATCTTTAAAAATAATAATAATAAAACACAAAAATAAAATGAATCCTGGAGATCACTTATCCTTAGATACAGCCATTTACACAGAAGAACAAAGTGCATTGCACTTTCATGTAGGAGCCCAACAAGGGAACAAGGCTCTCTATACACCAAGGCACACTTTGGGAGGGTGTTTCAGGGTTGGTGGTGGTGGGGGCGGTTAGTCAGCTCAGAACAGAAGAGTCTGCCATCTGCCTCTAACAGCTGGAGAGACCCCCATCTCTCTTTGTCTCTCTGTGTATATATAGATCTCTCCCTCTTTCTCTCTCTCTGCGTCTTCTATTCTTTTGATGTCTGTCTCATTTTTCTATTTCTTTTTCTCATTCTGATTCTTGGCCCCTATCTTCCATCAGCTCTTGACTTTCTGACCTCTCTGTCTCTCATCTCTCTGTCTTATATATCTTTCCATGTTTGTCTCTCCCATTTCCTTGTTTCTCCTTCTATGTGCAGCCCATCTGTCAAAGCTCTCTTATCCCTGTCTTTTCTTTTCCTTTTTTCTTTTTTCATATCTGTCTCATCTTTTTCCCCCTCATTTCTTGTCTTTTATCAGTTTCTCTTTTCTCTTCTCCTTATTTCCCTTAACTTCCTCTATCTCTGTCTCTCAGTTTCTCTCTGTCTCTGCCTTGCTCCTACTTACTGCTATAAGCACAAGGGCTCATGGCATTCCAGAACCCATGAGTCAGATGTTGTTTTGTCAAGCATGGCAGGAGTATTGGAGAAAACAAATAGATGAAGGCAGAAACATTCAAAGTCTTGGAATAAACTGGATGGTCAAAAAATCCAAACTCCCAGAGACTTAGAACTTCACACTTTTTCAGAAGCTCCTTGCTTTAGTGGTTTATAGGAAAGGAGAAAAATTGCCGTCACTGCTGAAGCTAGGAAGGTCTTATTTTCCATTGTGAGGTGGGGGTGAGGCTACTAAAGTGCAACGGTCTGCTCTGAGTCAAGGACACAATGAGCCATCTTCTTCTGGGGATTTGGCTAATTTTAGAGTCATTAGTGATGGAGCAGAGAGGTACCTCTCTTGTAGCTGTGCAGCTCTTATCTTCTCTCCCTCAGAGCCAGCCTGGGGACTTAGCCTCTCACATAGGGGCAGGCGTAGACAATTGAGTCACCTTGAGGAAAGGAGACAAGTGAGTCACCAGTGTCCTGTGCACCTGTGTGTCCCATTCCCTAGGAATTTCAATACATTTGGTGTCTGCCTAGGACCTTGCATTTTTAAATCACCCTAAGCCAATTTGCAATCTTTCACCCTCTATCCCTCCAGGAACAGTGACTGCCTGTAAGAGGTAGGGGAGGGGGCGTCTATAAATTTTCTTCTCAGTGCTTAGTTGGGGAGAGAGCTTTCAAGGCCAGATAAGTTGTATAAGCCATTGTCCAAAAATGTCACCATCTGCCATTATTCTGTTTCAAAATGCTGAGACATTATCCTGGGGAGTGTGGTTATAGGAACCTGTGCTGGGCCCTCCATGTTACCCAGACAACCATGATTAAGGAAACTATTCCTAATTCTGTTTTTTTTTTTCCCCTGGCAAGAAAGGAGTAGGCATGTCCTTAATAAGGGGGCGGGACTTCCCAAATGGAAGTCCTTCAAACTGAGTGACAGTCACCATTTGTGACATCTTTTAATTAGTGATAACCCAGTGAGTACAGAAGCAGTGCCGGGAGGCCTCCATGATAGGGCCTGGTGTTTAGGATTGGCAAGCAGTTCTTCAGAGGCCTGAATAGCTCTACTTTCCTCCCTGATTAGCAGGTCACCGAGACCTTGGAAGAATTTTAAGATTGCCAACAGTGAGGTGCTGCTAGTCAACCTTGGAGAGAACCAACCTGTGTGTGATTCCCTGCTTCTTGAGTCCTCTGAGGGGACAGACTTAATGGAACCATTGGGTGATCTTCCTGCTGTTCCTGTTATTCACCCCTTCCCTCAGCCCCTTGCCTTTTCTTTCAAGTACTCAGAACTGGCCTCTGAACTAGGTCTGGATATAGTCAATGCATAGCAAAGCATCACCTTCTCATGCTGTGTACATCCTTCCTGTACAGATTGTAGCACATCTTGGGCCTCCTTCAATGCTTCAGAGATGATGGGCCTAGAGTCTCAGAGAAGGTGGGCAAGGTAGTGCTGATGGGAAATTACAACTGAGGCATTTCCTAGGCTCTGTTGCTTTAGGTCCAAGAGAGAGTCATGGCCTTTGGGGTTAGAGGACAAAAGTCAAGATTCTGTGGCTTCAACTAAAGGCAGCACATAGAAGCTGGTTATAGATTCTTTGGCTTTACATTTATTTTGAAATTTAATTTTCCACCAACATAGTCTATGTTAGTAGCTATCTTCCTTTGGGAAAGCCTACCCCACCATAATGCACCATTTATTCATTCCACAGATACTATATTTCAGAGACACAGAAATGATTGCTATCTCTTAATCTAGAAAGCCAACCAGAAATTTATTTTTTTAAGATTTATTTATTTATTCATTCATGATAGACAGAGAGAGAGAAAGAGAGGCAGAGACACAGGCAGAGGTAGAAGCAGGCTCTATGCAAGGAGCCCAATGTGGGACTTGATCCCAGGACTCCAGGATCACGCCCTGGGCCAAAGGCAGGCACCAAACCGCTGAGCCACCCAGGGATCCCCTCAACCAGAAATTTAAAGTGAAGACTCACCTTGTGGAGTGATCTCCATCATGTTTTTTTTTTTTTTTGTATGGTGCAAGTACAGCAACCCATACACTCAAATCCAAACATACACACCCAAAGTGCCAAGACTAGAGACACTGATCTCTCTATATGTAGTCAAGTGTCTTCTAAGGAAGCTTGGTTGGCAAGGATACTGTGGGATCATATTAGGGATAGTATTAAGGAGACTGAATTTAGCATGGCTGATGGGGTCTGGAGTCTTGGGACCTGGCACTGTTGGAAGAGTGCTTCTGCCTCATAACTCTTTCATCAGAATTCATTCTCCACTGTTGATTATTTATGTCATATTTCTTTGTATTAACCCTGCAATCCACTGATGAAGAACACGTTAGTATGTAGAAAAGCTTGTACATGGAAGTGAGACATGGCGTGTTTGGTAATTCAACAACGACTCTGTTACTTTTTTCCCCTTCTAGTTATTTTTTCCTCAGTGGGTCCAAGGAGAAGATTAAGGGAATGAATGATGGCAAACTGACGGCCTAGAAGAGCCAGGCTTTTCACTTAGAAACAGCACAAAATCTCTGAGTTCTTGGGAAGAGAACTTGGAGTCTTGCAAATGAGCTTAATGGAGGTGTTGTTTGTACACAAGCTAATGGTATTGGGTTCCATCAGTCTGAGGCCCCTTAGACTAGTCTTTCAGCTTCTCTTCCTTCATTCATGTTTTAGGCACTCACTAGCTGTGGATCTTACCTGGTCAGGATTCTGATCAGTAGTGGTTTGCTCAAGAAATCTCCACCACTGTTCTCCCTTGTTCAACATGGTAGGCTTGCTTTAAATGTCTAAGTAACCTGCTTTCTGGGTTAGATTAACATAATTATCAAGGCTCTATGGGCTGAATATTTGATATCCTGACTACATTTTTGGAATCCCGCTGGTTTTATTGTGGTTCTGCCTGGCCTATTGTAGGATGCAGCCTTGGAAGAAAATGTCCAGAGGATGAAACAGCAATTCACGGCTCCCCAGGATGTCTCTAGAGATGGTCGTGTACAGATGAAAGAGGTATCTTTCCTGATGTCCCTTTCCTGACCAAACCTATTTGGGCTGTCATTTCTTTCCAAAGATCATGCAAATCTTAATCTGATTGGGAAGTTAGAACTCTCTGCCATGCTTCTGGCCTACACAGCATTTAGTAATCACCTCTCCTTTTCCATCTGCTTAGCAACTCATATCATTTTCTTTAAGTCAAGCAATATTTATAGTTATTTTATAACTGAGGAATTGATATACTGGAGGCTTTGCAGTTACTTGATCCAATATTTGTCTCTTTGCTGTGTGCTGTTCAAATCCAACCTGGGTAAAAGGAAAAACTGAATGACAATAAATGAGTTGAAACTTCTGAATCAGCTCCCAGCAGAGGCTGGAGAGATCTAGCCCTGGAGATCATTTGAAACAAAACAGACAGCAACCATCCTCACTTCAGCTCACCCCACATGTACAGAGTCTAAAAGAGCAAGGAAGGCCATTGAGCATGCAGTGCCACAAGCCCTCTATCTGTAACCTCCGTCACCGTTTTTCCTTTCAGCTCTAAAGTGTTTCTAGTTTAGAAAGGACTTCCACACATATTATGATATTGGATCCCCAACACTGTAAGAGGGGACAGACATGGAATGTCATCCCTATTTCACATGCACTGCATGGCCAGTAAAAGGCTCTTGCTTAACTGCAACCCTACTTTTAGATAGGACTCCATGGGCTCATGCTATCTAGTTATGCACTTCTACATAAAAATGAGCTCATTTTAAAAACTATTTATTTTATAGTCAAAATCACCCACTAGATATATTACCTGAAACTTGAAGAGCTAGTCTCTCCATGCTGCCATACTTGGATAGACAGTATTGTTGATGAAAATAGTACTACTTTCTTCAGAAAGTTATGATAAGAGGGCAAGATAATGTCTCCTTATAAAAGTAGACATGTTCGCCAGCAAGCAGCCTTTTCAGAAAAACTAAGATGTATGAGTGTGGTTGTCTCCAAAATTTTCACTCCACGGCAAAAAATATATATGTATGAGTGCGGTTGTCTCCAAAATTTCCACTCCACAGCAAAAATTATATATGTAACCAACAACTATAGTAGAATTGATGTAAAGCTATCTGCATCTCCATTAAAGGAAAAGTAAGTGCAAGCCTCAAGCTAGAAATGCCAAAGTATTCATGACTGCATGTTCACTACTGCATTCTCCAGCCCTCAGAACAGAGTGGAACAGTTAATGGTGCCCAGTAAACATATGTTGACTTAGTAAAGAATAAAGTGAAACATGGTAAATGCCTGAAAATGATGGTGTTATCTTACTGACAACAGACAGACTGTCTTGAAGCACTTGGAAACCTGGCAACAACTTTGACATCCATGCAGTCCTACAAGTGAGCATAATGGAAGTGGTGTTTGTACACAAGCTGTTGGTATTGGGTTACATTATTCCCAGGTCCCTTAAACCTCTAGAGTCTGTGAGCTTTAGGAGTAGCAGGGTCTCCTCTACCTCCTCCTGTTATATCATTGACTATCTCACTCCAATCACAGGTCGTTGAGACAAAAATCCTCAGCCCACCTGGACGCATTTTAGATATTCTAGCACAATTAAGATGTGGCAGGAATTGCAACTGAGAGCCAAAGCCAAGCTTGGGGCTTATTTGGGCATTTGATTTGTCCGGAGTTCCTCTGTCCAAAGCTGAAGACAGACTGGGTTCTAAAGGCTGAGGACCAGTGAATCATGTCTTAATTTGGTCTCTTGCCCTGTGCTACCCCATGTGAAAAACCACTTCATTTGGAAGAGCAGTTGCCAATTCCATCTGACCTTAGAACCCAGATGGGTACAACTGGGGGCGGGGCAGGAAGGGGCAGGGGAAGCGCCAAGTCCATGCCATGAACATAAGACCTTGGCCAAGTTACTTCTCCCTGAGCCTCTGGTTCAGGCTCTTCATCAACATGGTGTTAGCATTCACTGAAGGTTTCATTTGTACCAGGAATTTTGCTCAACAGTTCATAAGTAGTGCCTCATTTTACTTTTAGCCTTCACATAGGCACCAGGATATAAATATTATTATCCTCATTTTACAAGTGAGAAAACTGAAGCACAGAGAGATCAATTAAATTTTGCCAGATCAAATAATACATGAGCAATGGAGAAGGAGTCTGGGTCCACTCTAAAGACTATCGTGGACACACACTGCACTGTCCTGCTCCATGAGTAAAAAGGGGTATTTACATCTACCAGTAGGAATGGTATGAGAATTTAATGAGATCATTAATGAAAAGCACATTTCCAGTGCCTGCCACATAGTAGCTACTCGATATATGATATTCAAAATATGATTGCAATCATTCATACGATTATGTCCTTGAGCAGACCCATATCCAACTAGAGGAGTGAACAGGAGTGTGGGTTCATCATGCCTACATGCCACCAACAGCATCTGCCTGGACTCACTGTGGCAGTGCACAAGATGCTGAGAGTGCCCAGGGACAGAAGGAATGGCCACTGTTTATGGGGGACAACTCAAGACAGTAACACTGCAGTACATAGGATAGGATGAGCCCAGCCCAATATGCCTATGGTACTGAGGTGAGAATTATAATCATGCAGGAGAAGCAAATGTCACCTTTACTCATGGGAGAAGTGATGTAAAATCAGTAGAACTGGTGCTTAAATAGAAGGTGGAATGATTGAATTGATCACTCATGGACCAACTATTGTAGCATCATAGAGACACTGATAATGAAAAAGAAGAAAATAGCCAAAACTCAAGACACAGACAGCAATCACTCCTGTCTGTCTGTGTGGCAGTGAAGTGAACATACGTATAGCATCTCACCAGCACAGCATAAAACTTAAAAGTACGGCCGTAGTCCTGGTGCTACCACTTACTAGCCATATAACTAAGGCAAGTTCCAGTTTCCTTAACTAATAAATAATAATGATGTTGTGTTGTGCACTCTATAGGTTGTGGTTAAGATGAAGTGAGGAAGCATACATAAGAATTTAGAACAATTCGTGGCACATTAAAGAATTATTTGCTATTTTAATTTTCTATTATATTACAGAGTTAAATTATTTTAATACAGGAGAGTCTAAAAATACTGCCTGGAACATATTAAGCACTGGCAAATTTATTATTAAAATTAGGATTATGGTTTTTAGATCGTAAACTTGTGGAAGGCAGATACCCACTATATTTCATACCTACTATGGATGCAATGCTGTTTGAAAGAATCAATGAATCAAAAATGATGGCCAAGGGCACAGAACTGTAATCTGAGCTCTTGGTCCTGAGGAATCCAAACCTTCCTGGCCTATAATATGTCCCACTGTGTCTTCTACCCAGGGAGCACTGGCCAGTGTCACTGACTGCTACTTCTCTCTGTCTCTTTAGCTTGCCAACACGTTCTTATCTGAGGATGAAAATTTCCTTCTGTTCTTTCGTCAGGAAACCCCCTTGGACAGCAGCGTGGAGTTCATGCAGGTTAAGTATTTGTGTATTTATGGAGAATGGGGGCTGAGAAGAGGCCAGGATCTCAGCAGCCACCAACTGTGGTGGCCACCACTCCTGCCCAGTCCCCAAACCCACAGAGGAGACCAAGCAAAGAAGCCCTTGGTGATGGGCCAGAACGTGGGCTCCAAGCCCCACTTTGTTCTGTGTGCTGCCCTAGGCTGCTTCCGAGCTGACAAAGTGTTTCAGCCTGGACTAGAGGAGGCTTAGACAACAAGTAGGCAGGCCAACATGGAGGAATATGATGGGGGTCAGCTGGGGAGCCCAGAGAGCAGATGCCCCATCCAAAGCAGAGAACCCGGGGAAGCTTCAGCGAGTTGCTGTCTGGACATCTAGACTCTATGTGAAACTACTTGTTTTTATATCTTGGCAGCTAAATCTAGTTTGGAATGTGTAATACCATGAAAATGTAACTCACTAGGGTGCTGAACCAGCCAGAGGCCTTCTGTTTGCCATCACTGTGCTTGAGAAAAAGCTGAAGGCAGAAGCAGTGGCTCCTCAGCATCTCTTTCAGCCTCTATGTGTTATTATCTGTTGGCCAAAGAGGACCAAGAAAGTCAGAGCATCCAGACAAGTTCTTGTATCTGGGGCCCTGCTCCTAAAACAGTTACCAAGTCCCCATTTAGGAGACAATAGCTTAGTACCCTTTTGCATGACCGTATTTACTTCCGGCCAAGTGGAAGTCATAAAATTGAGCAAGCATACGCATTAATGGAAGAGATCTGAGTAGACAAAAAGAGTATGCTAGTGGCCAAGAAATGTAAATTTAAAACAACTAATTTTTTGCCAAAGTGGTAAGGATTTTAAGAGGATCAACAAAATATGTGGTGCCAGCAAGAAAGCACAGAGATTGATCTGTTGATCTCTTGGTAGGCATGCACACTGCAACAATTTTTTGGTGATCAATTTTGCAAAAATGTAATCAGGATCCTTTAAAATGTCATCATCCAAAGTTAAAAATATCTTTACCCTCTGACTTAATAATTCTACTGCTCCAGGCATCTATCTTAAGGGTATAATCAGAAATGTTTATATTTACAGGAAATGTGTTATAATGTTAAGAAGCAAAGTTGTGTGTGCATTATGATCTTAACATTGTTTAAAAAATGGTTCACCCTAACACCTACATAAATTAGACCACAGGTAAATACACATCAGATAAATACTTATTGCTTTCAAGTAGTAAGATTTCAGTTGATTTTCATATTCTTTGTACTTTTATATTTTCTAATCGTGTGCAGAATCATAATTATTTATAAAATATTTTAAGTAATATTTCAAAATCATTTTAATGGTGCTTAAAAATATTCTCAGAAAAATCTTTTTAAACTTATTTATTCCTGAGAGACACACAGAAAGAGGCAGAGACATAGGAAGCGGGAGAAGCAGATCTCCCTGTGGGGGAACCCTATATGGGACTCAATGCTGGAACTCTGGGATCACGACCTGAGTTGGAGGCAGATGCTCAACCACTGAGCCACCCAGGCATCCCTGTTCAGAAAATTTTAAATGAAAAGAATAAACAGATTGCCCTAGTGTATAGAAAATATAACCTCCAAGTTAGGAGGAATTGGAAAAAGGAAAGGGCACTGTGGAGCTTTCCTATCTTTTTGTTTTTCTTTTAATTTTATTTCATTTGCCCCATCCCTTCTATTTTGTCAGTTTCTTCTAAACCTACCCCAGGTATATCTCTTTCCATCATATTTCTATGACACACATGGCAAGACTAACTGTTTTGTTTGCTTGGAAATCTTTGTATTTTGCTTCCATTCTTTAAGGATAGACATGCACATTATTCACATAAAAATCTTTGGGCTTCCAATTGGCTCAGTTGTAGCAAAATCATAAGATAATGTAGATGGAAACATTTTGGAGAAGAGCAGGAGACAAAAAAACATGGAAAATGGTTTTGAAATTCTCATTCTTAATTTTGGTATACTCACATCATAAAAGTTCAAATATAATTTATACTTAACTAATCGATTTTATAAGTCTGGCTGAACTCAGGGACTATAAGGCATAAGGTTTCTCAACCTTCTCATGGCCCATTAGTACCCTCACTATCCCTGCAGGGTGCTCAGGCAGGGCTGGCTGACCCAGGTCTAGAATTAAGGTCCCTGTAGTTGGTGACTCAGCTAACCCATTCTAAATCTACAGAAAATCTGTCAGTTAAAGAAAACAACTTAGTGCTACTTTTTCTTTCTTTTCTTTTTAAAAAAGTAGTTTCTATACCTAGCATGGAGCCCCAAGCCGGGCTTGAACTTACAATCCCGAGATCAACACCTGAGCTGAGGCCAAGAGTCAAATGCATAACCAAATAAGCAACCCAGGTGCCCTTACTTTTTCCTTTTGTACAGGAGTCTGAGAACTTGCCAAAATATTAGGGCTTATACATGCAATAATCCAAAAAACACTTATTAAAGAAAGCAGTTTAGTGTCTGCATAAAAATGTTCAGTTGGGCAGCCTGGGTGGCTCAGCAGTTTAGCGCTGCCGGGATCGAGTCCCCACGTTGGGCTCCCTGCATGGAGCCTGCTTCTCCCTCTGCCTGTGCCTCTGCCTTTCTCTCTCTCTCTCATGAATAAATAAAATCTTTAAAAATAAATAAAAATAAAAATGTTCAGTTGTTCTGTCTTCCAGTTAGTAACGGTATCTTCAGCCATATGAATGCTGCTCCTAAACCCATGGAAGGGTTGTCTTGTCACTAGGAATTACCCAAGATGTTTTATTCCCTTTACCCAGAGCCAAGGCCACACAAGGAAGATTCCTTAGGCAGCAGTTTATTTTAGAAGGGTTCACCCTTTCATTAAGGTTATTGCTATTCGGGGCTTTAGTTTTATGCAGGTGCCTTAATTTGACTCCTCCCACCTTTGCATGGGCTCTAGGATTTGTCTCCTGTCTACCTTGTGTACAATCTTGGAATAAAGCTGCAGGCTGCATTCTCAAGAGTCAGCAGATTACCTAGGAGAGACTTCAGTGCCAGTCCTACATTACCTCTTCAGGTTTGTGCTTGTTTACATGGTTAATTGATTAATAAATGGATGCATGGTTTTCATATATTTCAGATTTGGCGCAAATATGATTCTGACAGCAGTGGCTTTATATCAGCGGCTGAGTTGCTTGTAAGTGTTGCTGGAAACTCTTACTGGGTGGAGGGGACTTATTCATCACTGGGGAACCTGATGTACATGGATCATGAATTTAATTTCTGTAGGCCCAAGAAACATGGATTTGAATTTGTTACTTTAAAAAAATGTATTTGTATTTAAAATGTTTAGAAAGTACAGGTAATGTTGCTTTCTCTAGGAGAGACACATAATTGACAGTTTTTGACACTTTTTCCATGCCTGGAGGTATTCTCTGGGTTCTATGAGCTCTCTTTAAATAGTGACAGTCCTCCATTCTTGGATTTATTACTTGCTAAAAGGATTTTATATTCTCCTTTTAAAAAATGAACACAATCCTTAGATAAGGCCTCTTGAGGTCTTTGTGGTTTATTTGCTCCCATATAAGATGTGGCTCTTCTCTTGATGTCACAGAATTTCCTTCGAGACCTCTTCCTCCACCACAAAAAGGGCATTTCTGAGGCTAAGCTAGAAGAATATACTGGCATCATGGTAAGTAACTGAGCAAAGTGATCTCCATGAGGGCAGCTACCTTGCTGCCTCCCCAGGGTCCAGAAACAGTGGCACAGAGCATCTGTAGATCAAATGAATCCAAGAGAAACTCAACTCTCAAAACAATGGCTAAAATTGAGTTGCTTTAGCTCCTCTCTGAGGATGAGACTGCATGTGTTTGAGAGGAAAAGCTGTTCACCTGTCCTTGGGGAGACGTGGGAAGTCCAGGTGACATTAGGTTACCAGGCAGCAAGCCAATGACCTCAATGCTACTTGAAGTCACATGGAAAATGGTAAACCATGGACAGTCAGAAACCTAAACAATCAGGACCAAGCACATGGGAGCCATTTTTATCACAGTGGACAGTTCTTTTCATTTAGTGTGTTGATTTAGAGCAATTGAGAGTCAGATAGACAAGAGATGTGTGTCCTCCCTCTGCCACTTCTTAGCTGTGACCTTGGGAGATTGTCAAAGCCTCTCAATTTTACTTACTTCATTCATAAAATGGGAGATTAATAGGACCTAATTACCATGAGGGCAAAGAGAGCTGATGCATATGAAGCACTTGGTAGGTGTCTGGGACATAATATGAATTAGCTTTTATTGTGGCACTTGCTGTGGTCCTTGTCATTATTTTGCTTGCCCCTCATGGCATCCATGTCCTGAATGACCCTGAGATTATTTTGGTGTCACAGGTCCCTGGAAAATGGTGGCGTGGGAGAAGTTGCCTCTGGCAACTTCAGTCTCACCTTCTGTTTCAGCTTGTAACATGATGCATCTTTCCTGGTACCCATCAAACCTGTCAACAACCTGGCTTCCCTGCCTTTCATCTTCCTATCCCCACACATTTGCTCCATTCCAATCAGATTCCATAGTTTTCTCAATTAGGAAGCAAGGAAATTGCCAGTGAAGGCTTAATTACTTGTAGGACTGTTGTCTATATTACATGAAGAGTTCTTACTTAGATTCATGTTACTGAGCTTTCTGGTGCACAGTAAGGAACACATACCACTGAGAAGAGGTGGTATATTCCCATAAAATATGTGCCACTAGATTATCTATTGAGGCCTTTAGGTGATGTTTCCAAACATGGTATTATTTCTGATTACTTCTCTGCAGGGTTGGCTTTGTTTATGCTATTCCATGCTATATCTGCTATATATCTGATCTTGGGGGCTTCAAAAGGGTGAGTGACTGAGTCACCACCAAGTTGAATTCTTAAACGCACTTCAAAGATCAGGTAACTGGGAGAAGTTGAATTACCTGGTCAAAAGCCCCAGTTAAACTGGAAGGTGAGCCTCAGTCTTCAGCCCTGGGCCCCTCTTGCCTCTCCCTCAGCACTCTATCCAAATGCTGCCCCCAGTTGTGGACACCCACCCTGAGAAGGAGGAAGGTGCCCTTGACCGTGAGGACTTGTAAAATGGTCTGGACAAAAGTGAAGCTCATGCCCAGAACAGAATCAAACCCCAGGCCAGGATCTCAATCAAGGATATAATTTGGCTTCTTACTCTGGATCTGTTTTAATAACATGCAACATGGTGTTTGAAATCTTGAGTAAATATGTACTCGGCACAGAAGAGTGAAATGGGAAGTCCCTGTGGTTGGGAAGCAGGAAGCAGTTTCCCAGCCACAGGGAGATCACTAGGTTTCTTCCTACTTGATTCCCAGTGAAATCTGTCAGCAGAATAAGAACTGTGATGAGAGTGATGTCACTGTAACTGCCTGGGCCAAAGAATGACAAGCAGACTGTTTCCAGCTGAGCACTTTTCCAGTGATTGATTTAACACCGTGTCAGCATTGGCTGTTGTTACCTTGGTTTTATTAACTTAAAAAACATGCACCAACAATGAAATACCCTCATTTCAAATCTCCAACATGCTCCTAGTATTCCTTTGTTTGCCTTTGATTCAGAGGGGCTTTCCTCAGGCTCCAACTATAATGCTAAACTGCCTCTTTCCCGCTTCTAAATGTGGCTCAACTACTTTCTCCCCACTTTTCTTCTCCTGGTTCTTGCTTTTCCTTCAAGATTCAGTTAGACATCATCTTGGGCTAGAAAATTTTCTGTCACCTTCTTCTGTAGTGGACACAGGTGCCTCTCCTCTGTGTGCCCAGACTACCTTGTGCATGTTGCTATCTTCCTATCGCAGTCATCCGTTTGACCCATCCCACAAATATCCACCAACTAGCTGCTTTGTCCCTGGTACTCATCTAGTCCTGGAGATCCAGCAGTCAGCAAAACAGACAAAGGGGAAACTGACAATAACAATAAACAAAATGAATAATAAATTATATTACATGACAGAGGGTAATGAGTGTTATGGAAAAAATGAACACATAGAACAAGGCTGAAGGCTAGCCATACCAGCAAGGTAGCAAGGATGAAGGACTGGAGAGGTGTGATTTTTCACCCTTCGAGAGGGTGAGACTCAAGGAAGAACCACAGGTGCAGCAGGCACAGACCCCCTGGGGTAGCAGTGTGCCTGTAATCTTCAAGGACAGGAAGACACCCATGTGGCTGGGGCAGAGTCAGTGAGACTTAACAGAGGTCAGACCATATAGGGCTTCTTAGCCATTGTGAGAACTCTGGATTGAGCTTGAGGGAGATAGAGAGCCACCAGAGGTTTGGAAGCAGAAGATGCCATGACTTGGCTGCTGTGCTGAGAAGAGCTGGAAAACGAGTCAAGGAGGGAGTCAGGAAGGCCGTTTAAGAGGCCACTGTTGCCATCCAGGTGAAACAGGGTGGCAGCATGGAGTGAGGTAGGTTAGCAGATATGAGTTCTCATATCTGAGATTGGGAAGGGGGAATCATCATTAGAATTCCTGATGAGTGACTAGAGTCAAGGACAACAGACATGACTTGTTTGTGGGTCTTGTTCTTTACTAACTGATGACTCTTCCAGGGCAAGGGAAGCATCTAATTTCTGCTTTCACAGCCCTCCAATGGGGCCAGACACACAGTAGGCTATTTAATGCAAATAGTCAAAATTGAATTTGCAGGTTGCCTAACCAGCCAGCTAAAATAGGAAACCATGACAACAAAAGCAAAGTTTGCACTTGGGACCCTCCTGCTTCCCTTACCTGTGTTCCTTAACACACGTCCACCTCCAGCACAGAGCCAGAAGGAGTGCTTGGAAGTGCTGAGCTTGATCCTTTATGGCTCTCACTGGGGTCCTTCATCCTGTAGACAGTCATCCAGTCATCCAGTCTGGGTCTCCCCCATCCTGTAGACCGTCATCCAGTCTGGGTCTCCATCCAGTCTGGGTCTCCTCCTCCTATTAGGTATGAGCTGTGCTGAGCCCAGGGGCAGACACAGGGCAGCTGGAGACCCTTGCTGATTACCAGAGAGAGGTAGTAGGGGAAGAAACCAGGTACCAGGAGTGGGGGGAGGAGGCAGAGTAGAGCAAATATAAAAAGACAATCTGAGAAGGACAGGACTGCCACAAGTCCCTGTGGATTCAGAATTCACATTACTGCGTTCTTTCAGTTGAATGTGAAATGTTTTTTCTGAGCTGAAGAGTAGATCTCAAGGTGACTCAAAGCATGTCCTCCAAAACCCTCACTCTCTTCATGCTTTTTTTCTTCCAGGTCAGAATATGATCTATCAAACTAGTTCACCCAAAGATGGGAGTTCATTCATTCAACAAATATTTAGGGAGAACTTACTGAGGAAGACATGGTCCCTGAGTGTATGGACTCTTCCAGTTAGGGAAAATTTGGTAAAGGAGGGAAAAAAAATTTGCTCTGGTCACTCCAATCCATTCCAAATGTACACGTCATTGCCCTAAACCAAAGACCAACAAGTTGAGTTCAATTTTGCCTTCGGTTCCTAAAAAACAGCAATCTCATCTTGAGATCCAGTTTTCCTAACTTTTAAAAGACAAGGCAGATTATAAGGAGGCCACAATTCTAGAACTTCAGCAAAGGAAGGACAAGAGAAGGTAGGTAGTAGATGGACAGAGTTCAAGTTGCATTGTTTTAAGATGCCTTCTCCACTGAGCACATGTGGTGTCTTATTATCACTGCAACATAGTGAGCTTCTATTCCAGTACTGAGTACTTTACCTGTAATAATTGTGCAAAGCACTTTTCAAACATTTCATTTGGTTCTCTCAGCACCCTCATAAAGATAATTATTTTTTAGTTCTTATTTTACAAATGAAAAAAACTGAGAATTATAGACTTTAACAGGTCAAATATAAGAAGCATGGAGTGGAAATGCATACCCAAATCTACCTCCAAAGCCTATCTTTTCCACCATAATATCATGTCTGAAAGTTTAAATACTAAGTTATTAAAAAGAAAACTTTCAAAAGAGGAAGAGTAAAACTCTGTTGAGAGAACAAGAAGAGGTGACAATTCCTTTGAAGGAAGTGAAGAGCAAGGTGAGGACAAAGCCATGTTGGGAGATTAGGATTCTCTTAATATTTTTAAAGATAATACAGGAGCACTCAAGCCACACCAGAATTTATTAGCTAGGAAAATTTTTCTCCTCATGAATCATCTTAAGAACTGACATCTTTTTAAACACAAAGTAGGAAACAAATTAATGGAAGACAACAGGGAACCAGAAAGGGTTCTACAAAAGTGCTCTGGGGAGAGAGAGCACTGATAAGCTGGGGCAGGGGCTGGGGAAGGAGAGAGAACTATGCCTGCATCGAGTCCCCAGGGTCACTTCATTGAAACAACCCATTCATTATAAGGGACAGGAAGGGGTTTGAAGGGGACATGGGTGTTGCTCACAAAGCCAGTCCTTGGCTGGAAGGATTCTGCACGTCATGCATCAGCCCAGCAACCCTGCTTGCCCATGGCGCTTCTCTTTAGCCTTTAGGTTTCAATCTTTAAAAACCCCAGGGTGGCAGCTCTTCTAGTGGGATGCCCTGGGCTGAAGAAGATCTGACAACGTGCAATGTTGGATGGCTCTGAGCTCAGATCTGGAAGCTTAGAATTAATCCTGTGAAGTAGCTGAGGGAGACTAGAGTGGTCTCACCCAACTTTTGAGTTATCTGGGTTGAGAACCGCCCATGGACCAAGACTGTCCTGTTATTCTGTGTCTGTTTCATTGCCCAAACGTGGCTCTTTGCTTCTGCATGCTGCGAGTAAGCATTGATTTGCATTCCAAACTGTCCCATGAAGACAGGCCCATGATCAAACTCCACATGGCCCCTCACTGGTTCTTTATGCCCTGAGGTGATAGGCAAATGTTGAGGATATTCATCTAGTCTAATCAGAAGACAGATGACTTTAATGAGATTATAGCCAATCTATCTTAATTGTCTTCCTTAAGTTTAGAGGCAGCTTATATTTTTCCAATGAATATATTTGGGAACTGAACTATAGCTTATTTTTTTAAGACTCTTCTTTTTTTTAATTTTTTTTTAAATTTTATTTATTTATGATAGGCACACAGTGAGAGAGAGAGAGAGGCAGAGACACAGGCAGAGGGAAAAGCAGGCTCCATGCAGGGAGCCTGACGTGGGATTCGATCCCGGGTCTCCAGGATCGCGCCCTGGGCCAAAGGCAGGCGCTAAACTGCTGTGCCACCCAGGGATCCCCTTTAAGACTCTTTACATTACCCTAGGGACCTGTGCGTGAACTAACAGACAAATTCAATATTCTCAAAAGATATTTTAAAACTTTAGTCTAACTATACACCAAGTGTGAAATCACCTTACTGCTGCTTTAATGGATTTTTTTGAGCAATGGATACAGTCATAGTAGCACCACATTACAGATTTGGTTCTGAGGTTTAGCATCAAATGCTTTACTTAAGAAATGTAGGGTAGCCCAGGTGGCTCAGCAGTTTAGCGACGCCTTTGGCCCAGGGTGTGATCCTGGAGACCCAGGATCGAGTCCCATGTCAGGCTCCCTGCATGGAGCCTGCTTCTCCCTCCGCTTGTGTCTCTGCCTCTCTCTCTCTCTCTCTGTGTGTGTGTCTCTCATGAATAAATAAATAAAATCTTAAAAAAAAAAAAGAAATGTAAACCTGCTAAATGAATTAAAATGGACCCAAATAAGTAAGGATTGGCACAATTCAAAGGGATCTGCAGCATTAACAATGAATGAGGTCACAGCAGAGCATCCAATCATAAGAGAAAAGTCAAGGTCTGCAGACCTCACCTTCTTCTAACTCCTAATTAATGTTCTGGACAAGGAAGGAAACAGCCTATTTACAAAATCCAATTATGACATCTAATTGAGAGATGCTGCCAGTACCTGGTAGGGGGAAAGATTACCTGTCTGAATAGAATATTATCAGATAATATTGAGCTTTTAAAAATGTAAGCTAATGCATGTAGGAGCTCTTAAGTTCATGTACCTAATTAGAGCATGGAACTTGAACTATTGTAAATCGGCAAATTAAAATCCGAGACCATAGCAAACAGACATATGAGGTTAAGCTTGTCCCATCCTCTACTCTGGTCCTGGCTTCCCAGCTGCTTCCTTCCCATAGGTGGAGGCACTCAGCATTCTCATCCAGGCTGACATGAAGCATGCTCTTCCCTCTGTGCCCACTATCACTCTGCCAGTGACCCTAACCAGCCTCATGACTGGCTCTGCCAGCTAATGGGGTTGACTCTCAATTCACAGTTCTGACCCAGATCACTTCTCTGAACTTAAGTGAAACATCTAGCCAATTTTCTTATGGGTAGAAGCATGATTTACCACCTTGGTGTTCAGTTCTTCCTCAAGCCAATTTTGAGCAAAGGGCATTTTCCCCTTTGAGTAATTCATGTAGCAATGCAGATGGGCCCACAGCTTTTACTACTTGCTTAAAGCTCAAGATAATCTAGCTCTGTATTAAAAATAGAACCCTTTATAATGATGGTGTCATGAGAAATAACTCATGACTGTTTCCAGCAAAGTGTACTGCTCTCAGATTTTTACTGGATATAGAATTTACATTTAAGGGACGTGATTGGATGTATAATATGTCCAAATGTATAAAAATATAACTTGCATTTTAATATAATCTGTAATACACATTTTTGTATCTAAAGTTTTGGGGAAATGGGCTTTTAAATCCATTTCAAATATTACAAAGAAACTGGATTTAGGAAGTGAGGAAGGATGGATGGATACATTTTTTAGTACCAAAATCTGCTACATAAACTCGGATTTTCTCATTCCATCTTTTCCTCTGAACAATATCTTCCTACAAATATGTTTAGAGATAATCTGCTGCACTGAAATGTGAAAATTCACTCACACTAAGACTCAAATATGCCATGAAATGCCTTTCTTCCACTTTGCCTAAACTAATCTGGCTTCCTGATTTTAATTTTTAATCTTATTTAAAGCCTCCTCTGATAATAATTTAAATAGTCTCTTTGATTAATGCTAAGTCTTTCCACAAAAGGAGGAGCTTGGCCTCTTAGATATCTTAATCATCTTTGTCCAACCCAGACTCTTCTGCAAAAATGTTATCGAGGATGGGTGCCTGGGTGGCTCAGTCAGTTAAGCGTCTGCCTTCAGCTCAGGTTATGATACCAGGGTTCTGGGATCAAGTCCTGCATTGGGTTCTTTGCTCAGTGGGGAGTCTGCTTCTTTCTTTCCCTGTGCCTCCCACCCCCCCCATCCTGCTCATGCTCTCTCTCTCTCAAATAAATAAAATCTTTTTTTAAAAAAATGGCATCAAGGAGAGAAAAGTGGCTTTTGGCCCTAGTGGTGAAAGTGGTGGAGCTAAGGTCTCTGGGCACAAAGCTCTGACCCCCCTTAGGCTGATGCCTCTTGCCACTCAGTTGTTACCTTGCTGGTATTCACAGTTGAAGTCTGTGATGAACTCATAACCCATGCTCTTAGCTTTGGCTAGTTCATTGGGAAGTCTAGGCTAATCCAGCAGCCATCCTTTACCTCTTGCTGGATGCAAGCCACTAATTCTCTGCTACATCTACAGCAGAGTCCACATGTTCTTGGCACATGACAGACTAGTAGATTGAGAGGCAAGATACTGGGGAAAGGAAAGCAACTTTATTCAGAAAGTCAGCAAACCAAGGAGATGGCAGACTGTTGTCTCCAAGAGCATCTTCCCTCAGCATGAAATATGAGCTTCTTTTATGTGAGGAAGAGGAAGAAGAGTAGGATGTTGGAGTTAAGAGGTAACTGATATCTATAGATGTCCAGGAGGCCACAAGGGTCCAAAGAAGGTGCTGAAACTTTTCTATCTTTGGTTATTTGATCTTTGCGTATAGGAACCTGGTCATGGCATCCCTGTAAATCTTAAAACATAGAGTTGTTATTTCTGTATATACTTCCTTCTCTCCTTGGGTGAAGTAGGTTTTGGGGAAAGAGTGGTTTTTGCAAATCTAAGCTGTAGCATGCCTTTGTGCAGGGCTACACAGAGGTTTGTCAGCCATAGGTCACAGCAGAAGGGAAACAGAGGCAACATGGAGTCAGACATGCTAAGTGTCTCCCTATGACACAACCTCTTTCCAGCCTGCAGCTCAGGGGTCCACCTCCACCCTATATTCCTGCATCATCTCATCCCATCACAGCCAGCTCTATGCAAAGTCCACTGACTCTCAACCCATCTTCCAAATCCTTGGATGCTCAGAGTGTCTCAGGGAGGCTAAGCCACAGCAACCCTCCACTCAATGTTGTCCTTCTGCAGCTAGTGCTCTCCTCCCTCCAGAATCCCCTTTCCAGCAGAGTTAGGTCACACATCTGTCCACGTGACTCTCCGGTCTCTGCCTGTCCTTCTCATCCTTCCTGCAATCCTTGAAGCCTAGAGAGGCAGGCTTTCCCCTAAATCACATTCTTCTCAAGGACTTTTGCCTTCAATGGAAAAATGATATTTCTTCTGTGCTCTGTAGGGAGTACTCTGTGATATCAAACAGCTTCAGCCAGTTTAGACACCTATGGAATCAGAAGAGCAAAACAGCAAAGTACTTCGGTAATTTTCAAAGTGGATTCCTGTTACAAGTAAGTACTTCTTACAATCATTTCCCCTTCTGCATTCCAGATGAAGATTTTTGACAAAAATAAGGATGGCCGGTTGGATCTTAATGACTTGGCAAGGTGAGTAGCATGGGAATGGTGGCATGACTCAGACACACTGTCCTAGGGGTTCCACAAACAGTACATTCTTCTCATTGAAAGCAGATGTCAAACTTGCCTGAAACCCTGAAGAACAGACTCAGCTTGCCAAATAAACAGCAGTTGTTTGGAATCTTCTGGGATGACAGATTCCTTTGTAAAGATAATAACCCCCTCCCCACCCCCCACAGTGCACAATACGGAGTTTTCATAACATTTTATAGGTGGATCATGGGCCAGCCCCTGCCTTGAAAGGCCAGACATAAGTACCCCATGAAAAAATAAGTCTGGAATCCCAGTCACTGGCTCTGAGAATGCTGAGCAGTTAGTTGAGGACAGAAGACGACTGAACCAGATGCCAGCCAGCCATGCTGTCTGGTTTTCCGTGTTGGTGGAGCCTCCATGGGCCCTCAGCACCTAAGGGTCAGAGTGGAGGAGGATAGAGGTAACAGCAGAAGTGGTCCAATACCTGTGAAGGTGCTGTCTTTAAGTCCAGTGTTGTGACACGATGGGCATGTCATCATGTCTTCTCAAGGCTAGTTGACCCCAAAACAACGTGTGGTTGTCCACAGAATGGAAAAAAAATCATTTGATTCAGAATACATGGATCTAATCTGGGGGGGGGGTGCGGGGAGCAGTTGTGATACCAGGTGCCTCAGGATGGGGTGGACAGAGTTGTAGTGTGGACAGTGATAGAGGGTGGCAGTTACAGGCTGCAGGGCACAAGCATGGATGGCTGGGAGAGAGGAAGTCCAAGGACTGAGGGGGGATTTTCAGCAGCAGAGAGTTAATGTCACACATAGATATTAATGTCACACACAGATATTAACTTAAGTTCAGAATCACAAAACCCTGTACCAGCTACCTCCTCCTCTCTTGGTAGCAGGGGATCGAATGGGGACACTTCAGGAAGAACCTCTCTGTAGTGGTGACCAGGACATTGACCCCAAAATTTTATATGGTCTTTTATTCTGAGCCTCATAGTTGCTGTGGGAAGCCTGTGGATCTGCCTTGGTTACTTTTCCCAGGACCTTCATCCCAATTTTGGCCACTTTGCTGGAGAAAAGGCATGGAGAGGAGGACAAAAGTGTTTTTCCTAAAGACTGAGGACTGAGGAATCTCTGCCCTTGTGGTCTTGGCTGTATCCCTTGGCTCCCACTCAACTTTCTCACAATACTTTTTTTTTTTTTAAAGATTTTTATTTATTTGAGAAAGAGAGAGAGAGAATAAGCAGGGAGAGGAAGAGAGGGAGAGGGAGAAGCAGACTCCCTTCTGAGCAGAGAGCCAGTCGTGGGACTTAATCCCAGGACCCTGGAATTACCACCTCAGCCGAAGTCAGATGCTTAACTGACTGAATAATCCAGGTGCCCTTTCCCACAATTCTTTCGGCCAACTGAGGCAAAGGTTCCTCTCAAGTAGTGATCAGTCTAGCTACTCTGAGAACTGTGTGAGAGAACCAGTCCTAACGTGAAGACCCAAAGCACCTAAAAGCTTCACTCAAAACATAGCAATCTGGATGAAAACAAGAGCTTTTAATTCCCTTGCTCCAGTCACCAAAAGCACCCACTCACCCCACTCAAGGCATTTCTCAGAGGTGGTGAGTTGAGGAGCCTTGAGCGCCCTCTGGAGGCTGGAGTGTGCCATTACTGTAAGCTGCTCTCTACCCTGAAATTGTTAATAATGCTGTTTACTCCTGAAATAAAATCCACAGATAATATAATCTATCTATGCAGATAATGCTAAAACAGTTTGTGTAATGCACAAACTATCACACATAAAGGGGAAATAAAGGAAAACAGTTGTTAATTATAAGGTGTATTTCAGTGTATAAGGTGGGTAGATACAATAACAGGGAAGACAACCGATTGGTCGTTGTTTACATCTTGGTGTAAAATTACCATGAATATGTCCATTAAGTTGTTGACTGATACGAGTATGGCCTTTTGGCAACTCGTGTCAGGAACTCAGTTGCTGTTGATATAGTTTTATAAATAATAAATAAATCTTGAAAGAGTTCTAAATGAAACAAAGTACAGTCATCCCTCAACTTCTGTGATTCAGTATACTATACAGATAATTTACAAGATTAGTAAATTACGTATACCTTGAGAAAAATACCCTGGCTTTTAATGTAAATAGGAATTCAGCTCTAGGTTCATATAATTATAAGCAGGATTTGTACACACATGAATGCTCTTGGGACATTCCAGAGTCAGGTGAGATATGGGACGATTCCCCATTCTGTGGAACTTTCCATGCAGTGCAGCACATCTAGCATCCCTGGCCCCCGTCTATGGAGGTCACCTCCCCTCTGTCATGTCCTCTTGATCACTGTGATTACCAAAAGATCCCTACCTGCAGCAAGCCAAACATGCCCTACTAGATCCTACCCAGAAGATAGGAAGTATGCATAAACTCTGACAGTGGAGTGTTATGTATAGAGGAGGTTTTGATGAGTAGTTGTGGACTGAAGGGAGAATTGACTTAGTACTGAACAGAGATGCAAAGCAACAAAACAGTTACTACATTATTTCAAAACCAATTTGATATGGAATTTGACAGTGACAACTGGGATAAGCAGAATAAAGATGTCCGAATTCCCAGAACCAGTGAACATTTTATGTTATATGGCAAGGATGCAAGAAGGATGTATTGAAGTTGCTAATTGACCTTATAAAGATTAGTCTGGATTATCCAGGTCAGCCCAAAGGTAATAACAAGAGTCCTTTTTTTTTTAAAAAAAAAAAAAAAGATTTTATTTATTTATTCATGAGAGACAAGAGAGAGAGGTAGAGACACAGGCTGAGGGAGAAGCAGGCTCCGTGTGGGGAACCTGATGTGAGACTTGATCCCAGGACTCCAAGATCATGACCTGAGCTGAAGGCAGATGCTCAACCGCTGAGCCACCCAGGCATCCCACAAGGGTCCTTTAAATGTGGAAGAAGGAAACAGAGGGTCAGACTTTGAAGGCTTTGAAGTGGAAAAAGAGGCTGTGAGCCAAAGAATACAGGCAACTGCCTAGTGTTCTTTTCATTTCAGCTTGAAGAATTCCCTTTAGTGTTTCTTATGGGTTGATAAATGTTGTCTTTTTGCTTAGTGACTTTTTCAAACTAATCCTGTAAAATCTGTATCTTTGTCATATGTGAACACTGAAGTCTGCTTCATTAGCCTAATGATTAGTTAATGATCCAACAGAGACTTCTTGTAAGCCCCCTAATGTTTGTTGAGGGGCCCTGTGTACTGGTTGGGGTACATTTTCTACCTGCAGCCAGGAAGTTTACAACTCTGCCTTTGCCTTAACTTCCTGCTTGCACAGAGTCTAATGATAAGCCACTGGTGAGCTCTTAGAGCCTCCTGACGTCTTTCCTGTGCCTACATACAGCCCTGGGAATGGATGTAGTCCTATGCATGTCTACAGCTTTCTAGATTCCCAGGAATATGTCAGAGCTTAGAAAAACCCCCGTGGACATCTCATTCCCCTAAATTTTCCTTATAAGCTTTTTAGTTAGCCTGTTGTTTACCCAAACTCTTTCTTTTTTTTTAAAAAGATTTTATTTAATTGTTTGTTTGTTTGAGAGAGAGACAGAGAGCATGAGTGGAGGTGCCAGCCAGATCGAGAGCGACAAGAAGACTCCCCACTGAGCATGGAGCCTGGCATGGGGCTCCATGCAGAGCTTGATCCCAAGACCCTGAGATCATGACCTGAGCTGAGGTCACCCATGCGCTCCGGTTTACCTAAACTTATTCTACCACTGTGGTCTGCTGTGATCTTAATTGTTTTTAATTGTTTTTGACAAATCTTCCCAGGCAGAAGGCTTTCCCTCCTAGATGAGTTCAAAATAAGGTCACTTATTGCACCTTGTAAGTGGGTTCTTTCAGAGAATGTCAGAGAAGTTAAATAATGACAATTCTCTGGGAATCAAGTTTTGAAAGGGCTCCAACTCTGTTCTGCTCACATAGCAGTGGTTAGAATGCTCATTTTCCCTGGGACTATGGGCTCTTCATTTTCAAGGATACCATTTTGCTGAGGAGGGGAGAAAGATGAAGCAAGTTAAAATGCTACAAAATCCACTGTTCTTACTAAAATTTAGTGATTTTTCCAAAATAAACACTCCCCAGATTTCTGTAAGACTTTAATTTCTAGAAATTTGAAAAAGTTATTTTGACTGTTTTTTTTTTGCCAGTTGTCTCACTGTCGTTGTGGAGGAGAGAGTTTTCAGTTGCCATTTTTCACCAAGATGATTTTTTAAAAATATCTCTATGGTGACTACTAATCCCTATGAAAGTCTCTACAAATTAATTTTTTAATTATAATGTACAAATTCCTATTTTTCAAGAACCTACCCTATTTTCCAGAATAATCTGGAAATTGCCTGTCCTTTCCTCATACCAGAGTTATGAATTTACTTGCCTCTGAGAGCTGACAGGTCATCATGTAAATTACTTTCTTTCTTTCTTTTTTTTTTTTTTTTCTTTTCCATTTAGGATTTTGGCTCTTCAGGAGAATTTCCTTCTTCAATTTAAGATGGATGTAAGTAGTGACATTTCTCTAGGTGGGCTTGTGTCATGCTTGCCTCTCCATAAATTTGAGAGGGAGGGAAAAAAGGAAGGCATCTGTTTGTCTCGCATTATCTAGAGACCTTCAAGACACTGTTGGGATCATAGGATTAAAGGTCATTGGCTCCAAGTTTATAAAGGTTGTCTATGACCCTGGAAGAATTAATTGTACAACTGAGTCTTCCCCTTGGTGGACTGACATACTGTTTTCTCCACATACAGGCTTGTTCTACCGAAGAAAGAAAGAGGGACTTTGAGAAAATCTTTGCCCACTATGATGTTGTAAGTATATCTTTTTGTGTGGTGCTGACCACTTTTAGGTAGCAAGCTTGTTTAGCCCCTTTGTGGGGGTCATCCAACTCACAGACCACATATGCATTGCTACACACAACTTCTCTATGTAAACATAAAAAGATTTTTTTTGGAAAGATTTTATTTATTTATTTGAGAGAGAGAGAGAGAACACAAGCAAAGGGGGAGGGGTAAAGGGAGAAGCAATTTCCCCACTGAGCAGGGAGCATGATTCAGGACTCGATCCCAGCACCCTGGGATCGTGACCTGAGTTGAAGGCAGGTGCTTAACCAACTAAGCCACCCAGGTGCCTCTATGTAAAGCTCTGAAGACTACATTAAAATGGACAAAAGGGTGTTGATTGTTGAGAAGAGAATAAAATCACATTTTTTTTTTCTCTTTGCCTCCAAACTGGGAGACAATTTCTTCTTCTTGATCTCTAGAATAGTATGCTCAAAAACAAAAGCAAACAATCAAAATAAAAACCATATCCAGCCCAAAGAAATATAGACTAAGTGAGCCCTGGCTGACATAAAAGCCACTTCTTTTGTAGGATTATGTGGTCCTTCATTAGAGAGGAGAAAAAAAAAATTCTAAAGCACAAGGTATGGCAAGGAGATTGCATTTCTTGAGGACAAGGTAGGGTAATGCAAGAAGGAAGAAAAATGAGAAAGTTAGGAAAAGTCAAAAGAGATGCCATCATGAAACTAACCAGACTGGACATCTGTGTGTGCCGCAATTTGAGTAGAAAGAAGCATTACCTGGAAGAGGCAGGATGGCAAAGTATTTAAGTGTACAGCCTCTGGGACTGATCGCCTGGGTGTGATCATGTGCCCTTGGGCAGCTTCCTTAACCTCCCTGTACCTCATTTCCCTTATCTGTAAAGTTAGGATGATGAGGATAACACTAACAATACCTACCCCATGAGATTGGTGCAAGAATTCAGTGATTTCATATTTGTAAAGCTCTTAGAAGAGTGCCTGGCAGGGAGTGAGTGCTATATTGGTGTTTGGTAAATACACTAAGGGAATAGATTTGTTAAAAGGGATATGTTAAAGGTTCAGGGTGAAGAAAACTAGGAAAGATGGATGGATGAGTTGTTATAACTGGTACTTTAGAGAAGAAACTGAAATATTTTAATATATATTGTAATTTATAGACATTCTTATAAAATGAATAGAAAAAAATAAGGGTTTTATGTACAGCCCAACAGTAATTCTAAAATACTCATTCAATCTAGGCATTCTCACTTTAAAATGTGTATTTTAATAATCATCAAGTCCTTGCTAAATCATAAAGTGAAATAAAAGAAATATCAGCCTATCCTTCAAAGGACTGATATGTTGTGCAAGTAACGCTTGTCTGAACTGAAGCCTGATATTAGGGAAGCAAATGAAGTCAGTATGTATCTTTAATGCTCCTTGCAAGAGCCACAGAATTCAAAACTACTGCTTCCCCTTTCTTTACATGGGGGTTGTTATTTAAAATTAATTATTTTAATTTCTGTGATACATTCACATCCTGCACAGGAAACCTAACTGGAATGTGCCGTTTCTGAACCTGTTTGCAATCACAAAAGAATACTGATTTGGACAATTTGGTTACTTTATTCTTCAGCTTTCTGACTTTTATCTTGCAGAGTAAAACTGGAGCTCTGGAAGGCCCAGAAGTGGATGGGTTTGTCAAAGACATGATGGAGCTTGTGCAGGTGATTTCCCAAGGCTGTTGAGATTCCTCTCATCGTGGGTTGGGGTTGCCATCATGATTGATTCCACTGTTTATTTCTGAGAATCAGTAAATGCTGAAAATTAATGCTAGAGACAAAATCTGGGGACATAGTCGATTTAACAACCTTTGAGCTTCTGTGAGACCTGACAGGTCTCTCTTTCTCTCTTTGGATCATTTGTAGTTTCAATTAAGTGAAGCCTCCGTAGAAACTTCTTGTTTCCATCATATAAAAACCATCTCTTTCACCATAGGAGCACGGTGCAGCTGTACGTAGTTCTGCTTTATTTTTTGATTACAGAAAGGGCTTTTCCCCTGGACTTGGTTATTAGAATACCTAAGACTTTTAATTTAATTTCATGAAATCATTCCTGTATTGGGATTCTTCCACACATACCCACCCAGCAGCCCCTAAGGAGCTACTTTAATTTCTAGCCTAAAATTTTGGCTAATTATCAACACATTGTTGTGATTTGAAGTGATAGGATTTAGATTATAATCTAGATCATAAAGCTGTTTTAGGTGGTATAGACTTTATTTTTTTAAAGATTTTATTTATTTATTTATTTATTTATTTATTTATTTATTTATAAGAGACACACAGAGGCAGAGACACAGGCAGAGGGAGAAGCAGGCTCCCTGTGGGGAGCCTGATGCAAGACTTAATCCCAGGACCCCGGGATCATGACCTGAGCCAAAGGCAGATGCTCAACTGCTGAGACACACAGGGACCCCAGTGTAGACTGTTTAAAACAAGCAATCTCCTTTGAACCCTGGTGACCTGTATTAACTGGCTGACTGATCTAGTTAAGCAGCCACTTTGCAACTGTTCCTTTTCTTTGGGACTGCATAGCCACCAAATTTAGTACATTCACATCCTTAGAGATTTTTCTTTTCTTCTAATTAGGACCCAGTGCTATTGAAATTTTTTTTTTATTTTTATTTATTTATGATAGTCACAGAGAGAGAGAGGGAGAGAGGCAGAGACATAGGCAGAGGGAGAAGCTGGCTCCATGCACCGGGAGCCAGACGTGGGATTCGATCCTGGGTCTCCAGGATCACGCCCTGGGCCAAAGGCAGGCGCTAAACCGCTGCGCCACCCAGGGATCCCTCCTTAGAAATTTTTTGAGATTTTTACAGTACAGGACAAAATGATTCTGTCCTGATTGGCCCAGATGGCAACAAAATAGAGAAGCAATTGTTAACTGGCTTTGGAATCCCAGACCTGTTTGAAAACCTCATTAAATCTATGGAGTTTTGGGGCAGCCCTGGTGGCTCAGTGGTTTAGTGCTGCTTTTAGCCCAGGGCATGATCCTGGAGACCTGGGATCGAGTCCCATGTCAGGCCCCCTGCATGGAGCCTACTTCTCCCTCTGCCTGGTCTCTGCCTCATTCTCTGTCTCTATTTCTGTCTCTGTGTGTCTCTCATGAATAAATAAATAAAAAGCTTTAAAACAAACAAAAACTATGGATTTTTGGCGACCCCTGGGTAGCTCAGTTGGTTAAATGTCCGACTCCTGATTTCGGCTCAGGTAGTGATCTCAGGGTCATGACATCAAGCCCCATGTTGGACTCTGCACTGAGCATGGAGCCTGCTGGGATTCTCTCTCTCCCTCTCCCTCTGCCTCTTCTCCCGACTCCCTGGTCTCTCTCTCTCTCTCTCTCTCTAACAACAACAACCAAACTATGGAGCTTTGTGGCAGAGCATTTCCCCTCAATTTACCAGTTTTTGCATACATCTCTAGGAAGTCTACATTCTGTGATTGAGTGGGCTTGGACGAGATTTTTTTCTGACTTCCACTCAGGATGACATTGGTGTCTTCTTTGCCTCCTAACTTTTATTGTTCCCATCCCAACTGGTCCCCTGCCTCTACCTTTTTTTGCCTTCATGAGCTGTTCCTTTTGGAGTCTCCACAGGTATCTGCACAGACAGAACTGATGGGGATGGGTGTGGTCGTGCCTTTTGCATTGTTTGCAAAAGGAAAGTCCCACTGTACTTACTACTTATTTAATGCCAGAATGATTTCTATAATAGAAACTGAGCAATTATCTACGGGACATTAAAGTCGCGGGGCAGTAGGCTTTCCTAAACTGCAGTTTTAATTTGCCATTGACAGAATGCATGGGATGGGGGGGGGGTTGCTTCTCAGAGCATTGCAGCCTCCTCTGCGCAGTGGAACTTGGGCCACTGATGGCCTAAGGGCACAGCCCAGGGGGTTGCATATCTCTACAGACTCTTGGTTGTCACCGAGTTTGGCAGTGGCTTCCAAAAGTTACTGGGTGATATGGAAGGAAAACCTAAACCAGCAACAGAGTAAAGAAGACATTCTCCTGGAGAAAATTAAAGAGAAGGGAAAAATACTAGGCCATTCAAGAACATGTGTTTACCTCATTCTTTGATAGTTTTGTATCACCTCCATGGGAAACCAGAGGATCCCCATCACTCTTGTCCTTGGCCCTCTAGCTTGGTGGGTCTTCTGGTGCCACAAAAATGTACCTCTCAGTTTAAGTACCAGCCAATTTAAGAGAGCCAGATTCCAAGGACTGAGTGAGATCATGGTCAGTAGTACAAAAGCAGTTGGTCAGGGCTGATTTGTTGAGATAAAAAGTATTTAAAAGTAGTTAATTATTAATGTTCTCCTTTGAAGCCAGATCCTTGAGGTGCAAACCTATATTGGATCTTTCCCAGTCTTGGAGGTTGCCTAAAAAACTTCATTTGAAGGATGTTGTCAAGGGAAAATCTTTGAGTAAATCTGACATATCTCAGTTCATAAACTAGAGTCACCACCTGTGACTGTTTAATTTTAATTTTATTAGAAAGGACCATGGGACAAGTACACAAACCAATATCTGGAATATGTTTTAAAAGCAATTACCAGAGCATGCCATGAAGTCAGCAGGGGGCTGGCTCATTTTTAAGTGTAGCATCTGGTCAGGATCCCTGATGTTTGAAATAATGACCTTCAAATTAAACTTATTTTATAGTCTTTCGTTCTTGTACAACTATGTATGATACATATGTTGAATCTGTATTAACAAGAATATCTGGTGACCAGAACACCCCTTTCCCTGATCTTTGAGAAATGGTGCCCAAGGTTGCCTCTGTCAGGATGATGAGATCCGTCAAAATAATTTCTGCACAGTATTTATAAAAAGCCTGTAAGTCCTTTGGCACAGCACAAAAAATCAGCATGAGAACCTACAGCTTAAGGCACAAGGCATTTAAGATGCCCAGCTCCATCACACCAAGGAGTAGATATGTGAATGGTAATGTTGGAAACCAAATAAATGGGATGCCAGAGATGACCAGATTGTCTGCTTGGGGAGGATGAGAGTTTCTGCCTCCAGGGTCCCCAATGTTCATTCTTGTTCCTGGTAGACACCCCTTCTGCTTTTCTCTGTTATAGACAAGGAGAGGATTAGCAAGAGGGGATGATCCTAAAAGACCACCAACATACTCCCTCCTTTTCATTGTAAAACATGCAATGACAGATGATAATTAGAATAAATGTCCCAGGCTTGCTGGCAAGGACCTGGCCGAAATCTAAGGCAATAACTTTGGACTCTATATGTCAACTTGGTGTTTTGAACACCAGTATGGCCAATAAATAGCAAAATGGAGACAGAGAGAACACATTATGATTTTGCATGGCTAGAGACTGAAGTTTTGGCTAATTAAATATTCTGATAGAGTTATCGTTAAGAGGTTTATTGTAAAGACCACTTGCCACCATCAAAGCTATAACAGTTCCTCTAGGGGTCAGAATGGGGAGTAGGCAGGGCCTTGAGGTCTTGATGCGGACTCTAGCATGGAGATTTGGGGAATGCTGGTAATGATTTATCTGGGGAGAGGGTTTGGATATTCGCTTTTGCGAATGAGAGAGAGAGAATGTACAGGAAAGGGAGGGTGCATGATGAAAACATGAAGACCACTTTTGGAGACACTCATTAATTCCGTGGATGTAATTGAGCACTTATCACAGGCAAGCACAAGGAGACAGATCCAGATCCAGATCCAAAGGTTCCCCTAGTCCCAGGATTCAAGGATGGGTAGATAAGCACTTTTTAGTCAACTACCCCAGATCCACTTTCACCACTTCCCATGAGAAGTGAATATAAGAAATAAAAAATGCATTTTTTAATGAATGGCTATGATATAGTGTACTGTTAAAGAGATGTGCTCTGGGGCCTGCTTGCCCAAGTTTGTATCTGGTTCTGAAATGTACCAGCTGTGTGATAGTGGGAAGGCTAATTAACTTCTCTGTGTTTTAGTTTTCTTACCCATAAATTAAAAGTTGATAGTAGATACAACCTCACTGAGTTGTTCTGAAGATTAGAATTAATTTGTGTAGAACCCTTAGATTTGGAACCTGTATGTACTTATACTGGTGACTTGCTATTAAAAATTAGGCCCCCAGTGATCTTTGATGGTCCAAACATCATTGAACGGTGGTGTTTACATGTCCTGACTCCTAGTGAGTTGTCAAACATTAAAAGCATAACTCAAAAGGTCTAAGGAAACTTCCCTTATATACACCTACATTCATACCCCCCCCAACACATACGCACAAAATGTTTCCACTCACATTAAGGAAATAATTATTTTTGCAGAAAACAAATCAGAAAAAAAAAGCTAAAATAGCTCGAAGAAAATAAATACATTGGCAAATTAATTCATGCTAATGTGTAAATGACTACCACCCAAGTCTTTTCTAAACATGAGAATTTGCTAGGAGGATCCTGGGGCAGAGTGCTGCTAACTGGAGAAAGGATGTGGCAGGAGTGGTTGAGGATGCTGATACCAATGGTCCCCACTTTGCCACTGTACAAGGAAAAGACTCCCATTGTGGAGTCATGGAGTGCAGCTTGTTTTCAGGACTTCTAAACCACTTCCTGGACCACACCCATACCTGCCTGTCATTGACACCTAGAGTATCTCGGTGAGTCCCAACAAAGTGTATGTATTGACGTTGTATGACATCTCAGCCTCTTAGTCCAATCACTGATGGACCCTCCACGGGCAGTGACGTTGGCCCCAGATTCCTGGCCTGATGTTCCCTGGAAATTGCCCACTTTGGAGGTTACTGTTCTGCTGCTCTCCACCCTCCTTCCTTCCCTCAGTTAAAACCTGGTATCAGGGATAGACTTGATGTCACTCACTTACTCTGCTGGGACAGTGCAAATTAGCTTGTCTTAATACGGCAAATTAGCTTGTCTAGCTGAAGGATGAACAGTTTCGTTTCCCGCTAGAGGTCTTTGGAGATTTCTTTGGCAGCAAAGTAACCTGGGGGTGGGCTGAGTGATGGGGACAGCTTCCCAGGGCTTCTGAAACCAAATCCTTCACACAGCAGCCCCCTGTGCTCCTTGGTGAGACCAGCCCAGTAATCAAGGGATTTGGAATCCAATGAGCTGGGTTTCCTCTCTCCATGGACCTGGGCTTTACATCCAGACCCAGAGCCTTCATATAGCAGGTCTGGCCATCACCTCTCCAGTAGAACAGTGTCAACTGGGGGTTTGAGCATTTAATTGGAGGCAGAAGATTCAGGATCAGAAATGCTATTGCAATTTCCTAGCTTGGCAGGACGGTGCAGTCTGAGCATCCGTGTCCTAATCTATATGCCAGGGTTACTCCAAGGTTATCATGAGCATTAAATGAAGTAGCCTGGGGAGAATCACTTAGTTCACCCATACTCCCTTTTGAAGGCATTTTGAGCTGGAAATTATTTTCCCATCTGATGTGTATCACGGTTCCTTCCTGGCCCATAAATATCCCTTGGAATAAATCTGACGTCCACAGCTCAGCCACATAATGCTTTAGACTTTCATTCATTATAAACCTTTTAAAAATTAGAAGCAGGCAAACTTCCCCTGGGGAGAGAGTAAAATGGGTCTTCCCTTATCCATGTCTCAAGGCAGAATCTGGGGTGACAATCCCCTGCTCCAAGACCAAATATGTTTATCACAGCTGCTAAAAAGGCAGGCTTTCCATAAGAGCTGCAGAGAAAGGATGTGGGGCTAGAGGGTCTCTTGCCCAAATGGCAAGGTTGAGAAGGAAATTTGGCACTATCTGGTGGGATGAGGAGATGGGATCACCCCACAGTGCATGTCTCCTTGGAGCCCCTCTCAGAAGACAGGGTGTCCCCTAAGTGTAGTCGGCGTGGAGGGGACGGGGGCGGCATAAAAGGCTGGGCCACCACTGGTTGGCCTGCTGACGTGGTATCTTTGCTGTCCTCAGCCCAGCATCAGTGGAGCGGATCTTGATAAGTTCCGGGAGATTCTTTTGCATCACTGCGATGTGAACAAGGATGGAAAAATTCAGAAGTCTGAGCTGGCCTTGTGTCTCGGGCTGAAAATCAACCCCTAGTCCCCAGAATGCTTTGCCTTTTGCTCTTAGGATGTTTCTGTGCTTCTGCTGGTAAAACTGTATCTGTGCTTTGCTGTTGGGGACACACAGCAAACTTTCTAACAAATGGTGTGGTATTCTTGGGCAAGGGGAGAGGTCCGAGGGCCTTCTCTCTAAGGGCAAGGTATTTTCTTACCACACTGAAAGCCTCCCATGTAGTGCCTGTGTCAGTCCCCCCACCCCACCCTGGGCTTTCCTGCCCCCCCCCCAGAGAGTCAGCTCACCTGCTGGATCTGCTCTGCTGTCCTCCCTCAGCCCCCAGGGAGGCAGGGGTAGCTGAGTCCATCTGTTTGTGCTTTCCTGTGGGCTTTCGTTGACTCAGTGGTAACTGGCATCTGTGGCAGACCTGTGACTTCTACAAATTGATTTTGTCATGGAAATAAACCTGTAGCTGGAAACAGACACACTGGTCCTTGTTTTTGTGTTGTAATCTTTGAAATGTTCTACATGATGGTTTGAGTGGTTGAGAAGGCCAACCACTTCTCTAACTTAGGGTAGGTGTGGTGAGGAAGGCAGAGAAGGGCAAGATCCTAATGGAATCCACAGGGGTGGGGTGGGGTGGGGGGCTTCCTCCCATAATTCACAGATGCCCTGGTTGGTGACTTTGTGTAAAAGTAGGAGTTGCCAATAATCACTTTTTATTCACTGCACAGAGAAGACCAGAACACTTGACCTGGGCTGGGTTTGGCTCTCAAGTGCTTTGTAATCTCACATGGCCAGGAAGTAGGAATACAGGAGAAAATTTGGAGAAAATTCATTACCTACCGGTCTATTCCCCACTCTGTTCCTTCTCCTTCCAACAGTGTCCTCTAGTGAATCTTTGACTTCCAAGTCTCATTTGATGCCCCTGGGTGCCTGGGTTCCTCTGCTGGTTGCAGGTTCCACCAGGGACCCCTGCTTCCTTCCCTCTGGGGCTCTGACACAGTCCCCACAAGAGGGGGCTGCTTCTCCTGGGCCAGATGTGCAGAGATTGATGGGGGGCAGGTCTCATTTCCTCTTACTGTCCTGACACTTTGTTCCCTAAAACATCCCTACTTTCTACCAGACTCTGCGGGAATTTCAGGTTTAATGCTGTACTGTGGGTAATTCAGAAAAATTATAGTGTAGAACGGTATATTCAGAGCCATTCATAACCCAAGGAAGTCCATCATTCACAGAGTTCCCCTCAATGGCAGATCCTGGCCAGAACTGGTTCCCACCCCCACCCCCCCGTCAGATGTCCCTTACCTCAAATATACAGATAATTAATATCAATAACTACTATGAAGTGCTTGCTTTCTTTATTCTTTTTTTTTTTTAATGATTGCTTGCTTGCTTGATTGATTCATGAGAGACACAGAGAGAGAGGCAGAGACACAGGCAGAGGGAGAAGCAGGCTCCTTGCAAGGAGCCCTATGTGGGACTCGACCCCAGGACCCTGGGATCAAAGGCAGATGTTTATATGTATATTTTACATACCTGAGCCACCCAGGTGTCCCCCATGGAGTACTTTCTATGTGCCAAGTACTTCTAAGTGCTTTCCATACTTTAAGCAATGTAATCCTCACTGAAATCTCATGAGTTAGGTACTCTTATGACACCAATTTTAGAGATGAAGACATTGAAGCAGATAACAACTTATATGTGCTTGGACATCTTGGAAGTAGGGAATCATGGACTTAATTATGGCCAATTTTAAGCACCTTTCAGAAAAATTAGGCCCCTCCCCATAGACCCTTCCCCACTGTAGTTCCCAGCCGGACATTTCTGCAAGTCTGGGTTATTCAGTCTGGGGCAATGTTTGACAGGAACCTAAAGAGAGTCCAGTCAGCAACACAGGGAAAGATACACATGCAGCCCCATTCTCGTTGTCCAGATGTTGAGTAACGATGTACACCCACACTCTTCAAAAAACAAACTTCGTTTTCAGAGTTGAGACAGTCTAAACCCACAAGAAGGGGGGAAGAATGTTTATCTCCAAGATTTCACATTCTTCTGCAGAATATCAGGTCCTCTTCTAAATCTCCTAAGTTTTAAATTTTTATTTATTATTATTTTTAAAGATTTTATTTATGTATTCATGAGAGAGAGAGAGAGAGAGAGAGGCAGAGACACAGGCAGAGGGAGAAGGAGGCTCCATGCAGGGAGTCCGATGTGGGACTTTTTCCTGGCACTAGGGGATCATGCCCTGGGCCAAAGGCAGGCGCTAAACCGCTGAGCCACCCAGGTGTCCCAGTTTTTGCATTTTAACAATAAGTCCTTTATTTTAATGTAGCGGGATGTATTTTACATTTACCTATTGCAATGCAACTTATGTTTGGTTTGAAAAATCCAATATTTTTTATCACAAATGAGTTCGCTCCTGCTACCATTTTTTGGTTATGTATAGATATAAAATATACATATAAATTTTGGTTATATATATATGACATAAAATTTGCCATTTTAAGTGTATCATTCCACCGTATTAATTACATGCACAAACTTATGCAACCATCAACACTATCTATGTACAAACCCTACTCATTACTTCAAACAAAACCTCTGAACCCATTAAAAACATGACTCTCCAACCCCTCTCCCCCTAGCCTCCAGTAACCTCTCATCTACCTTCTGTGTCTACGAATTTACTTCTAGATATTTCACAGAATTGAATTATATGTTTATCCCTTTGTATCTGGATTAATTTCACTTAACATGTTTTCAAGATTCATCTGTGTCATAGCATGTATCAGGACTACATCTCTCCTTATGGATGAATAATATTCCTCCCTATGGATATTCCACATATAGCTTATCTGTTCATCTGATGGATACTTGCTTTGTTTCCACCTTTTGCTTACTGTGAATAATAGTGCAGCAAATACTGCCATACAAGTATCTCAGTCCCTGTTTTCAATTCTTTTGTGGGTATACCCAGGATTGGAACTGCTGGATCACATGGTAAGTCTATCTGTTTGAAGAACTGCCAAACTGGTTTCCACATGGCAGAGTCATTTTACATTCCCACAAGCAATGCATAAAGGTTCCAGTTTTAATCTTCTGTTTCTAAATAGAGCCCTTTCTGGAACTGACCAAAGTAGAGATTGGATCCAAAGTTGTCCTATATCCACTTAATTCATGACTCTTCCTTTAGCTATATGAAGAGAAAGTTTGACTTACTGCTCTAGTAATAGCCATATAAATTCTTTTCCAAGGGTCCTCATCTTCCTTGGTGGCTATCTGAAGATGACTGAGGTGGAGATGGGTGAGGAAGAGAAGTTTTATTCTCTTAAGGGTAATTTCTTTCAGATCCACTGAGGGCATCTACTTGCCTTGAACACTAGCAAACTTTTAGTTAAAGCATATGGCTTAGGGGATCCCTGGGTGGCTCAGCTGTTTAGTGCCTGCCTTCAGCCCAGGGCATGATCCTGAAGTCCCAGGATGGAGTTCCACATTGGGCTCCCTGCATGGAGCCTGCTTCTCCCTCTGCCTGTGTCTCTGCCTCTCTCTCTCTCTGTCTCTCTGTCTCTCTCTCTCTGTGTGTCTCTCATGAATAAATAAATAAAATCTAAAAAAAAAAAAAGCATATGGCTTAGAGTCTATCAGAATCTCCTGAATCAGAGTGCCTGGGTGGCTCAGTGGTTAAGTATCCAACCCTTGGTTTCTGCTCAGATCATGACCTCGAGAGTTGTGAGATCTAACCATGCATGAGGCTCAGCCAAGGTTCTGCTTGAGATTCTCTCTTGCTCTTGCTCTCCCACTGCCCCTCTCTCTGCTTTCTCTCTTAAATAAATAAATAAATCATATATATATATATATATATAATTTCCTGGGCTTCCTATCCAATCATAACTTGATGTTGGTAAAGAACTTTAAAAGCATCCAAAGAAAAGGCTGGTGGAGACCTTTGAATGGGAAGAAGGTGTTCCACTCAAGGAGTGAGTTCATTAAAAAAATCTTCTTAATAAGTCAGAGCTTCGTATGCCATAACGTGGGTACTGGTGGGTTCATTGATGGAAGGCTGTCTTAGTCTGTTCAGGCTACTATAGAAAGATACCGTAGGTTGGGTGATTTAAACAATAAGCCAGTATTGTTGACAGAAATCAACAGTATTGATTTCTCTATTGACAGAAATCAATTGGAGCCTGCTGACAATTGATTTCTGACAATACTAGAGGATGGGAAGTCCAGGATGAAGGACTCAACAGATTTGGTGTCTGGCACACTTCCTGGTTCATAGATGGCTGTCTTTCTACTGTGTCTTCACACAGTGGAAAGGGTGAAGAAGGTCTCTTTTATAAGGGCACTAAATGTATTCATGAGGGCTCTGCCCTATGTTAAATCTTTTCCCGAAGGCCCTACTTCCAAATACCAACACACTGGAGATTAAGTTTCAACATAGGAATTTTGGAGGAACACAAATATTCAGTCTATAGCAATGGCCAAAGAAGATAAATGGCATTAGGCCTCTGTTGGGAAACCAAAGGGGAATAGGGTGCTGAAGAAGGGGCTGCCAAAGGGCAGAAGTCTCTTATCAGAGCACATGTTGTATAGATTTGATGGATGGGGGAAAGGTATGATGGAAGGCACCCCTGAGAGTTGGCTCCTTGACAAAGATGCTCATTCATTCATTCCAAATCAAGAAGGATGAAGTCAAATTGTCTCTGTAGATGATATGCTCTTAGAGATAGAAAACCCTAAGGACCCCACTAAAAAACTATTAGAACTAATAAACAAATTCAGTAAAGTTGAAGTATATAAAATCAATATAGAGAAATCAGTTGCATTTCTATACATTAATAATGAAATATCTAAAAAATAATAAATTAAATAATCTCATTTACCATAGCATCAAAAACAATGAAATACTTAGGAATAAATTTAACCAAGAGGTCTATACACTGAAAACCATATAAGACTAACAAAAGAAATTGAAAAAGAAATAAACAGAAAGATATCCAGTGTTTATGGACTAGAAGAATTAATATTGTTAAAATGTCCATACTACCCAAAGTAAAGTATAGATTCATTGCAATCCTTATCAAAAGAACAAAGCTGAAAGCATCACACTTTCAGATTTCAAGCTATCTTACAAAGTTTTATGTCAAATCAAAACAGTAGGGCACTGGCATTGACAAAGATCAGTGGAACAGAATAGAAAGCCCAGCAATATACCTTTATATACAGTCAACTAATATTTGACAAGGGAACCAAAAATACTCAATGAAGATGAGATAGTTTCTTCAATCATGGTGTTGAGGAAACTGGATAGTGACATGCACTAGAACAAAATTGAATCCTATAATACTCACAGAAATTAATTTGAAATGTATTATAGACTTAAATGTAAGACCTAAAGCCATAAAACT